GCTCTCTAGAATCCGAAGCGCCCGCCACCTACACTATAAAATAGATGCTGAAGCCGCGGCTGAAATCGGTCACTTGGTATTTTCTGTACAGTGAATGGCACGTAGTGCACTATATTGGGGACAGGGAACGATTCAAACAGTGTAAATATGCTTTCTATTGAGGAAACAAAGAAGTCTGGTTTGGCGCTGTGCCACGCTAACCACCGCACCACACACACTGCTCCGGTCCAGAGACACGATAGCACGGAGCGGATCACATGTGCGAGTCGGCGCAGACCAGAAAATGTTTCGGAGCTATATGAATTCTACACAGAATGCTATATTTTATAGCAATATGGATGAGATTGTGACTGGCATACCCTGTCAAATGCGGCTTTACGGAGCTCAACGGCTCTGAACGGCTCTAGCCCACTATAACTATAATATACAAATTAAATTTAAAAAAATTAAAAAGGGGCGGGGCTGCTTGATATATCCCGCCCTGTCTTCCTGTTTCAGTTCAAATGACGTCAACACAGTAACGCTGCGTGTTTCTAAGCATTTCAGGGGACATTTAACTCCCTTCACCTGTTTTCCCCTCGTCAGCTGGCCTACTTAAAGTCTTCCTTCTGTTCAGTAGTTTGTCGGTGATTGTTTGATGTTTCATGTTGGATGTTAGGACCCTGAGAGTAGTGACATATTCGCACGGGATTAGTATTATCTGGGGACCTTGTGTGATTTTGAAATTACCCCCCTACATCTGAATTTCGTGTGGTGCATTCGCACGGGATAAGCAAAGCCTGGGATTTTACTCGAATTTACTGACTTATCTCCCGGATACCTGGATGTCAAGGCTTTGCGAGTCCCGTTCTATGGTCCAGATGGATTTGAAAAAAAAATAAACTAATATAGTTTCGTGCGCTGTGTCATTTACATTTCACCAGGTTAATAATTATCAATCTCAAACTTTGTGCTTGGTTTATTTGTAACACATTAACCTCAAAACCTTTTCAGCTTTCTCTTTCTGCAAATTGTATGGTGTAGCGATATGATGACAGCACCCAGAATACTATCAAACACTCCAACGCAGCTCCATTCTTCGTGAAAGATGGATAAAAAGGTGCACAGGAAACAAAAACCTCAGAAAATGATATACAACTTGCCAAATGCTGGCCATATCACAGAGAGATGCCGATTCGCACTGGACTAATATTATCACAGGACCTCGGTGTTCAGCGAAATATGGTAGGTCTTTTGCGGGGGAATTTTTACATTACAAATTACAGACATGGCCGATTCGCACGGGATTAAGATCACAGACAACCTCCGCAATTATTACAAATGACTGGAGGTCACCAGGTAATACTAATCCCGAGCGAATAGGGTTTGAGACTTTTCGTTGTGGATTATCCTTTGTCTTCTGCACCTTCCTTAGAGAGACTGTAACACAAACATTTGAGCAGGAGGAATTTGGTTGAATTGACACGGAATGACCCTATTTAAACTAAATGTACAAAAAGGGTAGATGCTTTTTGCAAGAGTATAAACAAATACAGTAGCATCTTGCAAATAAACTGTGTAAATAAATAGTGATAGATGTTTTTCACACAAACTATCAATGGAATATTCTATTTATATTGCAGCTAAATAGCCTATATCTGAGCAATGGTGGGCAGAATTAGTAATAATAGCCAATAACAAGAAGGTTAGACAGAGCTATGATAAAATCTTGATCATGAAAATTTGAGTTTTTGTCCACTGTTTTTGCTTTTTGTTGTTTCTTGTTAAATGAAGATTGGCGTTGTGGGCTATGTTTTGCTAAAATATAGATGCTTTTATTCAAAGTGACTTTTTACAAGTGAGCTTTTCTTTTTACAACACGATATTCATCACATTCTCGTCAAAATTTGTGTAGCCTAATGTTTTGTTATTTTATTTTTATTTTAGTGTAACAATTATTTAGACACGGAGCAAAAACAATGTACATAACTACTAAAATGTAAGACATATATATTTTTAAACAGAGATATTTCGTGGCATTATTTTGCTCAAAATTCTGTCAGATATTTAATGGAACCTTGGAGGTACATTTTACTAGTTTTTCTTGATTGTTTTTGCCAGGAATGTCTGAAATATCATCAGCTTTGCAGTGTAATTCATAATTTGCATGATTTATCATTGATTTCATGCTGCTGTTGATTCAATGCATCAGAGCCCTCGGCATATGGAAAGCTGTCATCTCTCACGACTCAAGGTCCATAGACACATGTCAGTACCCTTTACTTAGATCGATGGTATTGATAAGCTTAGCATTACCAAGTTTTTCCATTAAATCCGCACAAGGCATAAGATATAAATCAAATGCGTTCTATGCTTTTTTGGCATGAATACCACTGGATTATACCATTCTCTCCTGTCCTACTTCTCATCAGTGGACCTACAGTGCCCATTCCCAGCCACTGAATTCCTTATTTTTTGCTGTTTTTCGACTCACCAAATTGCTCCAGTACTACAGTTGCATTGGCTGAAAGATCTCCAGCAAACACTAAACACATGTAAACTCCTTTATCCTCAGTTCTGACACTCTTCAGTCTGAGAGAGAAGTTTCCTTTGGGGATCTCAGCAGTGAAGAACTCAACTCTGTCTCTGTATTGTTCATCTGATGAATCTGAGAAAGTCTCATTGTTTTGGAAGAGCAGAACCAGAATATCTCCATCTGTCCTTAGCCATGAAACCTCAATGTGTTCAGGTTTGATGTGAGAGTCTACAGAGCAGCTCAGAGTGACATCCTCACCCACAGACGCAGATACAGAGTCACCTATTCCTGATACTAGCAAATGCTCTGAAATAAGAAAATAGAATAAAACTGAAATAGGAGCTTAAAATATTCAGTGCCCATTCCCAGCCACTGAATTCCTTATTTTTTGCTGTTTTTCGACTCACCAAATTGCTCCAGTACTACAGTTGCATTGGCTGAAAGATCTCCAGCAAACACTAAACACATGTAAACTCCTTTATCCTCAGTTCTGACACTCTTCAGTCTGAGAGAGAAGTTTCCTTTGGGGATCTCAACTCTGTCTCTGTATTGTTCATCTGATGAATCTGAGAAAGTCTCATTGTTTTGGAAGAGCAGAACCAGAATATCTCCATCTGTCCTTATCCATGAAACCTCAATGTGTTCAGGTTTGATGTGAGAGTCTACAGAGCAGCTCAGAGTGACATCCTCACCCACAGACGCAGATACAGAGTCACCTATTCCTGATACTAGCAAATGCTCTGAAATAAGAAAATAGAATAAAACTGAAATAGGAGCTTAAAATATTTTTATGATTAACAAAATTAGGTTTTTAATCACCAGCGTCTTTTATTTGAACCACAGTTTCACCAGAATCCTGCTTACTGTATACTCTACATGTGTATCGTCCCTCATCTTCAGCTCTCAGATTGTCCAGAAGGAGAGAGAAGTTTCCACGTTGAATCTGATCAGTAAAGAAATGAGCTCTATCATGATACTCCTGCTGCTGGGCCTCTGGTCGACTCTCACCATCCAGAAACAGATGAACCAGAGCCTCTGAGTCTGTTCTTCTCCATTCCACCTTCAGATCCTCCATTAGTAAGAGTTCATCAACATAACAGAGCAAAACCACTGAAGATCCCAGAGGAGCAACCAGAGGAGCAGAGGGACCATGCACAATGAAGCCTATAAAGTAAACAAACTTTATTCATTAAATACTTGGCTGTTTAACTTGTTTCAACAATTCCAATGTTACATTACGTACGCACCAAAGAAATCATTAAAAAAAACATAATAAATTACATAAAATGTGTAAAAAATAACTCCTCTTCAACAACTGAGCACAATGCCCCATTACCACACCATTTCATCTCAAACGTTAATAGATCCTTTGAAGACTTCTTTGAAACAAAAATCAATCAACACTCGTGATTTCACCAAATTTAAAAACCATTACCACCACATCTTCACCAGACAATCTTTCAACCTTACTTTTCCTGCTCATATAAATGGCAAAGTTCAAAATCTGACATGTAAACCTATTACCTCTAACAAATTTAAAACCAAGAATACAAATTCTCATAGAAAACAATTTGTTAAGTGAGGTAGAAAGTTGAATTTATAAAATGACCCCGTTCAAAAGTTTACATATGCTTGATTCTTAATACTGTGTTGATACCTGGATGATCCACAGCTGTTTGTTTTTTTGTGATACTTTTCACACTTTTCAGGTATTTATTTGTAAAAAAAAATTGGACACATTTATCATTTTCTTTCCAATTCACAATTATGTGTCCCTTTGTGATAGTCCATCACATAAAATCCAAATAAAATACATTTTTGTTTGTGGTTGTAATGTGACAAAATGTGGAAAAGTTCAGTGGGTATGAATAATTTTGCAAGGCACTGCTGTACATAAGAGCTGTACCTCTGTTTATGAAAAAAAACAAAAACTTTTTATTTATAGGAATTATTAGAAGAAACCTAATACTGCCACAAAAATACAGCATGTTTTACTTTTGAAATGATTTGGCAACCAATACAAAACTATTCAAGTTATTTGTAACAGAATGTCACCAGACCGTCTGCTTTACAATTTAGTTTTCAGTCTCAGTTTGTTGGGTTTTTTTACTCCAGAGGAACTCCTCTTTTGCAGACAGACAGAGCAGTCAGAGTACAGGATAAATATAGATGAGTCGGTTTCTCATATCTGTGTCTGTGAAACATCAGGATCAGTCAGATTCTCCATTTCATGATTCTGTGTTCTGTTAAAAACAAGACATTGCTATTTGGCAACTACACATCTCTACTACACGCAAAGATCAAACCTTATATTGATGATCAGCTGACACATCATATGCAATTATTACCTTACCCTGACATTTATTAAAAATCTGAACTTACCCAGATGTAACAATCCTCCCTATGTGACAGGAGAGATAAGAGAGACTAAGTTGTTTAAAAATGTTAATAACGGATTTAGCAAAATTAGAATTACTGTATAAAAGGCCAAACTTAAATAACGCTGGCTCTCCCTACTGGACACTTTTAATTTGATGCATTTCTATGTTTTACCAGAGTTTAACCCCCTTAATTTCAATCACTGAATCTGTTGCAAATCAGCATTATAGATATTTGCAAATATATCAGTGACTCAACAGCTCATTTCAGGCAAATACAATACTGGGCTAATACTAATATATCATTATTGAACAATTTTGTATTTATATATATA